TTGCACTTATCATAGCATCTCAAATTCTATTGTTTTGAGATCTGCAGGCAAAAAAAAAAAAAGAACATTCCAAAGAAGTGAGTGATAAGATAGGGTCATTAGCAATATCATCTTGAAACCCTCACCCAAAAGTGAACCCCAATACATCCACAGCACCTCACCGATTTCCAAGGACTTTCCTATCCATTTTTGACCCTCGCAATAAACTGAGGCTCAGTGAGCTGCCTTCAGGATCCTTATTTTATGGAAATGTAGAGTAGCTCAGTGCCATTTCACATTTTGCCCCAATCACAGCAAATAATCAAAATAAACAACTGGGCTAGGCAATCTTTAGCAATGTCCTCAGAAACTATATAGTCTTTCCAAGTATGTACATTTTGTGCTATCACAGAATACCTGAGACTGGTTAATTTATAAAGAACAGAAATGTGTGCCTCACCGTTCTGGAAGCCGAGACACAAGTTGAAGCAATAGTCAAAATTTACTGAGCATTTACTGTGCGCCAGGCAGTGTTCCAAGAATGGGATTGGCGAGCTACAGCCAACAGATTGGACCTGGCTTGCCATCCGTTTCTATAAATAAGTTTGGTTTTGTTTTCAGACAAGGTCTCACTCTGTCATTCAGGCTAGAGTGCAGGGGCGCAATCTCAGCTCACTGCAGCCTTGACCTCTGAGCCTCAGGTGATCCTCTCACCTCAGCCTCCTGAGTAGCTGGGACTACATGCATGCACCACCACAGCTGGCTCTGTTTTGGTGGTTTTTTTGTTTTTTTTTTTTTGTTTTTTTGTTTTTTTTTGGCAGGGATGAGGTTTCACTATGTTGCCCAGGCTGGTCTCAAGCTCCTGAGCTCAAGCAATCTGCCCACCTCAGCCTGCCAAAGTGCTGGGATCACAGGCATGAGCCACTGCACCAGCCATAAATAAAGTTTTATTGGAACACAGCCACACCCATTGGGTATATATTGCCTATGTCTGCTTTGCACTACAATGGAAGAGTCACGTGGTTGCAACAAAAATTACATGGCTCCTCAAAACCCAGAATATTTTCTATCTGATTCTTGACAGAAAAAATCTGAGTAGTTTTTGTGTCTACTAATAATTAGGTTAGTGTCAGATCCTGGAAATGAGAGACTCAGTGGAGGCGGTACTATTTGGGAAGTCACAGCATAATCCCTTTGGAGATCCACTCTCAGCATCACGTGTTGGTCACACCTCCCAGGCTGAAGGGAGCCATGTTAGTAATCCCTTAAAAATATCAAATCAGCCAGGCACAGTGGCTCACACCTGTTATCCCAGCACTTTGAGAGGCCAAGGCAGGCGAATTGCCTGAGGTCAGGAGTTCGAGACCAGTCTGGCCAACACGGTGAAACACCGTCTCTACTAAAAATACAAAATAATTAACCAGGTGTGGTGGTGGGCGCCCGTAATCCCAGCTACTCCGGAGACTGAGGCAGGGGAATTGCTTGAACCTGGGAGGTGGAGGTTGTAGTGAGCTGAGACCACACCATTGCACTCCAGCCTCGGCGGACAGAGCGAGACTCCACCTCAAAAAACAAAACAGTCAAATGACTTCCCTCACCCCTAATGCCAGCAGATTTTTATCCTGTGTTTCCTCAATCATCTTTTTGGAGATGCCTCCAGTCACTGAAAACCTTGCTCAAGAGCCTATGTGTGCTTTTCCCTCTGTTTCTCTGCATTGAGTCCAATGCTGTCCCTTGCCCACTTTGTCCACCAATATAGGCGAGACCTGTCACAAAATAAATGGCACAGAGTCTTCCTGGAAGACACACATGTTTCACGCACTGTCAGCCAAGAACAGTGAGGCTGAGCTCTTGTCAGCCAAGAGCCCTTGCAGAACCGCAGAGAACCTACAGCACAGTCTGCAAGCTGGCTCAGTCCTGAGGTGCACGCACGGTAGTTCCCAGAGCCCTGGGAAGCAATGCACATCGACGTCCACTGTCAGTTGCAGCTTAGCTATGTTCTAGTTAACAAAACAGCTCAGGTGCATCATGTTATAGCAAGTCATGCTGTAAGGGATGGATTTTATCAAGTTGGTGTGTGTTCTTTCAGTCTAGTTCACACCAAACCCTGTGAGACTGGTACCAGTGGTATTATCCCCATTTCACAGGTAAGGAAACTGAGGCAGAAGGAGGGACCATCTTGCTTTCGTGCCTCACAGTAACCAGAGGAGCCAGAATTCAAACCCTGGCTTCTGAACTGCTAAACTCCCACCCACCAATGCCAACAAGAAGGATGCCTGTTTTCAATTTTATTGTATAATCTGGCAGATTCATCACTCTGCTGTTTCCTTGGAAACTTATCTCCTGACACCTGGATAATGGGTGTTTTTTTTCCCAAAGGGTTTGCCCAGCCACACCTAAAGTTTCCATATCTACACATATCTTGGCTACATCAATGGTAATTGCTTGGGTGGCCAAATGGAAATCTTCCCACAGCAGGTGGGAAGTTCCCACACCCAGGAAAATTATTGGCACTAGCTCAAAGCCGTGAGCTGAGAGGCAGGAAGTGGCAGGGAGTCCTGGTCTAGCGGTGAAGAAACAGGTGCTCTAGCCAAGCTCTACCTTCCACTAGCTGTGTGTCCTTAGGTAAGTCACTTGCCCTTTCTGGGAAAAGAAGGGCATTTAAATACACACTCCTCCAAAAGAGGCTTTCCACATAATACAGCACAGAGATTAAGAGGAGGGCCACTGGACCCAAGAAACCGGAATTCAAGTCTCAGCCTTACCCCACCTAGAGGCCCTTGACCTCAGACATCCTTCCCTTCTCTGAGTCTCAGCTTCCCAGCTTTGATAAGAGCGTTTGGGGCCATCCTCACAGGCCTGCAGTAAGCAAGGGCAAGTAGGCATGTTGCTTATCAACTAAAAAGCTTTGTGCACATGTGTAACGATGATTACCATTGTTCTCTCCCAGGCCCTTGTTCTCCAGGCTCTCTGAGCACGATGCCTGCAGCTCCCACCAGCAATGGGGTGTTTGTTGTCATCCCGCTGAGCAACGCCAGTGGCCTCCGCCCACCTCCAGCCATTCTGCCCACCTCCGTGTGCCAGCCTCCAGGGATTATGCAGTTTGAGGAGCCACTGCGGGGGGCACAGACACCAAGGACCACACAGCCACCTGACTTGTGGCCCGTGGAGACATTCCTGAAAGGAGAGCCCAAAGCTTTAGGGGTAAGAGCAGCCCCTCTGCATGACCCGAGGCATGTAGTGAGTGCTCCAGCACGGGAGCATTCATGCACATTTTGGAGAGGGGAGAAGTCAGTTAATGTTAATACTTAGTAATGGCCGGGCGCGGTGGCTCACCTCCATAATCCCAGCACTTTGGGTGACCGAGGTGGGTGGATCACGAGGTCAGGATATCGAGACCATCCTGGCCAACATGGTGAAAACCCCGTCTCTACTAAAAATACAAGAATTAGCTGGGCACGATGGCGCAAGCCTGTAGACCCAGCTACTTGGGAGGCTGAGCCCGAGAATGGCTTGAACCTGGGAGTCGGAGGTTGCAGTGAGCCGAGATTGCGCCACTGTACCCCAGCCTGGGTGACAGAACAAGACTCTGTCT